CTTGTCATTACAGGAGAGGAGGAAAACAGGTAGAAAGTATGATAAGTCTGGAACTGAGTAAAAGAAAAGCGGTTACGTACTCTGTTAGAGAAGATTCGAGCCTTCAAACCCAGTGACAGTAAAATTCACTGCACCTCTGAAATATACAGAATTCTGCCATAGAAATCAAGTACAGCAAAATGGAAAAAGGATATGCACAGACAGCACAATCATATGGCCAACATATGGAAATCAAATGGAAGAGCTACTGGTTTTTAAGCTCCGCAAGAATGACGAATTGAAGATGAGCAAGAGACCTCTTTCCCTCCCTGCTGATAGCCCTAAATACCCCACCACCTCCCAGCACTCACAGCACAAGTAGCACTTGCACTGTTTTTCAGACATTTACCACTTTTAATTCCTAAGAAGCCTCAGACTGTCCCATAAGTACTCTAACTGCTTTCCTGAGCAAAAACACGCAAAGAAACAGAAGATCAAAGTCAACAGAAGACTTGGGATGCAGTTTCCTGAAAAAAAAAAAAAATGCAAAAAACCCACCACCAGTACTGGGCTCATTCTTACAGGCAGATGAAGAGAGTAGCATATGAGCATCACTGTGCACATACATATCCAGTGTGTTTAGTTAACCACACACTTATAAAAGCCTGTTGAAATCACAACATACCATAAGCCTAGGCAAAACGTTTTAATTAAAGGAAACACATTTTCTTCATTAATGCATTGTATGAGTACCAAGGAACATGACATACTCCTGTGGCATGAGGGTTTTTTTGTTCTCTGTGTGTGAACATCTGTACATTTCCCCAGAAGCCGAATTCAACACATGTGATGCAGGAACAGAAACGTCTTTTCAGTGGAAGTCTAAAGCAAACAGACGTGTCAAGCATCTGCCAACAAGTTACAAGGAAGTTACTTCTGCTCCAGGACATAATAACTTATGCACTTCTCCTTAGAAGAATGCTTGTCTTTTGTGGAAAAGATACACCATACTATGAGATGTATTTCCAGCTGTATGAAAAATGCCCACTGGATAAGAGGATCATAGGGTTGGAAGAGACCTTTGGAGACAGCCTAGTCTGATCCGTCTATTCAAGCAGGGTCGGTTACAGCAGGTTGCTCTGGAGCATGTCCAGAGGCATTCTGAGTACTTCCAGTGATGGAGACCCCACACACACACTGTGTAATGTGCTCTGGTGTTTGACCACCTTCACATTGGGAAAAAAAAAAACCAACAAAACTTATATTTAAGCAGAATTTCCTATATTTCAACATGAGCAGCACTGAGAAGAGTCAGGCTCTGTCTCCTTTTCTCTACACCATCAGATCTTAGAATCATAGAATCAACCAGGTTGGAAAAGATACTTAAAACCATCAAGTCCAACTATTACCCCAGGACTGACAAGATCACCACTAAATCATGTCACTGAGGGCCTCACCTACATGGTTTCTGAACACTTAAAGGGATGGTGACTCCATCATTTCCCTAGGCAGCCTGTTTCAATGCCTGACCACACTCTCTGTGAAGAAATTGTTCCTAATATCCAAACTAAACCTCCCCTGACACAGCTTGAGGCTATTACTTCTTGTCCTATCACTTGTAAATTGGGAGAAGAAATGGACACCCACCACTCTCCATCATCCTGTCAGGCAGCTGTAGAGAGCAATAAGGTCCCCATTGAGCCTTCTTTTCTCCAGACTACCCCCCACCCCAGTCCCTCAGCCATTCCCCATCACACTTGTGCTCCAGACCCTTTGCCAGCTTCACTGCCCTTCTCTGGACCTGCTCCAGCACCTCAATGTCTCCCTTAGAGTGAGGGGCCCAGAGCTGAACACAGGATTCATCAGTGCCCAGTACAGGGGGACAATCACTGCCCTGGCCCTGCTGGCCACACTGGTACTGATATAGGACATGATGCCGTTGGCCTTCTTGCCTGCCTGGGCACAAGCTGCTCATGTTCAGCTCGGTCAGTCAGCAACCCCAGACCTTTTCAGCCAAGCAGCTTTCCAGCCACTCTTCACCAAGCTTGGAGCATTGCATGGGGTTGTTGTGACCCAAATGAAGGGCCCTCACTTTGCCTTGTTGAGCCTCATACATTGACCATAGCCCATCGATCCAGCCTGTCCAGATCCCTCTGCAGAGCCTCCCTATGCTTCAGCTGATCAACCCTCCCAGCCAGCTTGGTGTTGTCTGCAAATTTACTGAGGGTGCACTCAATCCCCTCATCCAGATCATCAACAAAGATGTTAACACTGGCACTGACACTGAGCCCTGAAGGACACCACCAGTGGCCAGTCACCAATGAGATGTGATACCATTTACTATCACTAATTGATACAAACCACCACCACACCTTGATACAAACTGGCTAGATATCCCTTGAGCCTTCTCCTCTCCAGGCTTTGTCTCCAGGCTGTCTGTCTCAGCAGTCTTTGCTTTGCCTCTACCCATATACCTGATCCACCTGTCCCTTAATCATCTCTGTAGCCCTTCACTGCACTCACTCCAGTACATCCGATCCTTTCCTGCACTGGGAGCTCAGGTCTGGACACAGACCCCAGATGTGTCTCACCAGTGCTGAGCAGAGGATAAGAATCACTTCTCTCAACCTGGTGGCAACGCTCCTTCTAATGCAGCCCAGGATGCTCTTGGCTGCCTTTGCAGCAGATGCATGGAGCTGACCCAGCTTTTAGCTTGTCATTCACCAGCAGTCTTACCCAGGTCCTTCTGTGAGACCTCTGGCTTCTGGACGTTGTTTTTAAATCGGCATATCTAAGCCCATGCACATGAATTCATATCAGGCATGAAAAGAAAAGGAGGTTGCTATTCCAAGGCACTGCATACCTACAGCTCCCAATGGATAAGAGTGAAGTGTTATGATTAAAGCCCTGTTTCATGTTTCCAGGTTGCCTGCAGCAGAGCCTTCATCATCAAATTGTGTATAAACGAAGACTCTGTACAATGCTACATTTCAACTAAGCTCTAACAAGAACCACTCAAGAGAAAAGTGGATTTCATTCCAGTTTATCCCTTTGTTTCCAACTGTGGTAAGTTATAAACCTATTGTAAAATAGATACCACACAACATAGGGGCATGCAGCTCTAAGATAACTCATCCTAAAACAGTGATCTATATGGAAGGCTAGATAATGCTGCATTATACATGAAAATATCAGCTGCTTTATGAACAGACCCCCACTGCCATGTGCTGGGAGGTATGAATTAGACATGATGAAGATAATAAAGCAAAAACACAGTGTTTAGGCTATCTTTTTACAAAGCACTTGTCTGGTTCTGCACTTAAAATAGGAACCTGCATCCATTCCCTTATTACCCAAGACAGACCTTCATCATTCTTGAACCCTCTTGTTAAGGTGAATAGCAAAAAAGGGAAAAATTAGATATTATTGCTAAAGCCCCATGCCTGGCCCCTGGGGTGCCTGGTTGTACAAGATAGTTGCAGAATGAAAATGCAGAAATGAGCACTACAGAAATGCTTATGGATGAGGAAATAGTATCATGAACTGTTATGTCAAGTGAGACCCTATTTATAAACAGACAAAGAGCTTCTTGGTGTGTAAGTGATGGGAGGCAAGACATTGTTCACTGTACAAATGAGTGCAAAATATGACAGAAAGGAACTGTTGGGCTCTCAGGAAGAATAATACATGTGCCATTATCATTTGGACACCAAGGACAGTAGCATATTCATCAGTATTGAGTTGCAGAGAACCTGCGCCTATCCTTTGTGAATCCTGTGGGAGGTTGTGTACGTGTTATGTTTTTGGGGTAGGTCTGTGGAAGGTCCTGGAGTTCCTCATCAATGCCAGGGATTGTGTACAGTAAGGCAGGTTTGGCAGAAAGGCACAGATGTCGTGATTTGAATGTGCTAGCTCTTTCTCTCTGCGTGGATGAGACGTTTCAGATGTCCACATTGCCTTGAAAGCCATGGTTGGAAAGGTACAAAAAGGGGGGAGACAGACTGGTCACTATTTCAGAGAGCAACAATAGCTCAGCAGGTTACAGGGGCAACTATTTGCACTACAGACAAAACAAAGCAGGGACCCTGCCTGTAAGATGCCTGCTGTTTTCCTAGTGGTTTGTAACACTGCCTCTTTTATCCCCTAGGTAAATGCAGCAGTGTGTCATACCAGCCATTTATTCAATTTCTTTTCACTTCCTTCCTCCTTCCTCCCTCCAGATCAAGCAGTCACAGCTTGGACAAGACTCTTGAAAGACAAGCATTCAAGCAAAGCTGGCTGTCTAGGCCAGGTTGGACAGGGCTTTGAGCAATCCAGTCTAATGGAAGGTGTCTACACTCATGGCAACGGATTGGAACTAGATGATCTTCCAACCCAAGCCATTCTATAACTCTATAATCTAAGAGTTAGATCCCAGGGTAAAGACCCAGACTGACTGCCAGCTTTCAAGATGCAACAGAAAGCTTAGGACTTGACAGTCAGTGTCCAGGCTGAGTTTAGACTCTGGAGGCTTAAAAATCATCATCAGTTGAGAGTAGCATGGTGAGTTGACTAGATGCTGCCACAGCATTCACTCACAAAATTGGGGTAATGGTGTTTTCTGTCACTAGTCATTACAGCCTACAACTACACAAATCTCCTAGTGCTATAAGAAAAGCTATGCCCAGTTCTGTTCCACAAATACCATGTTCAAGACAAATGTTACAGTGCTTATGCCTTTCACAGTGCCAAACTGGGACCTGTTTTGGAGGCTGAAAAGCACTTTCAGATGGAGGAAATCTCCAAGAAGGAATCAAAGTCAAGTTACTCTGAAAGACTACAGTGCCTTTGCATCTTCTGTACAACAGGTACAGACACATCAAGTTTAACTTTTCCAAGGACATTGATGGGACTTGGAAATCAAATCCCATTCAGAAGGTACACTCCGGACATGTATTGCAACTGTAGTGCTACACCGACCACTCCAGACAAGACGCAAACAAGGGACAGTGGGTAAGACGCTGAGTTTGCAGTGTTAAATATATTTGTCGTTCTCTGTCATTGCTTTAATAGGAGCCACTATAAAGACGTTGTTCAGAGGCACTGTTTTTTTTCCTGTTGCATTTTCCTAACCTTGCCAGTCTTTGAGACAGGGATTATAGCAGTGAGTAGTTTATCTCTTCTGAAGAAGTAACAAAATGCCATGGCTTTCAGACCTCTTATCCCATAGACCCTTATCTTTTTACTTCCAATTGTACCTGGGGAAAGGATGAGGAGCCCATGAACTCCCAGAAATTTAGCACATTATTAGTATTTTTTTAACCCAGGGGGCAAGGAACAAAACAGGAGAGCTGAGTGCTGTGAAGTAGCGTGCTTAACTTTGTCTCCTGATCTCTGAATCTAGCACATTAAAGGATGGTGTTGCCATTTGATACCTGCTGCTGCTAAGAGAATGCATAATGATAAAACCACCAGCTAAGCTCTTACATCATTTTACAATCAGGCATCTCAAAAACTGTTTATCTGATCAGCACCAAATTCTGTCAGAGCGTTGACATGTGCATTTCTAAATAATTTCAGTATGTCAACCTGAATAGACACACAGAATAAGAGAGTTAATTATCTTTGACAACTTTGCCAGCTAATTTCCTATTTATATGTACCAAACTAGGGGCCTCTTTTATCCTTCCTTGTCACAAAGAGTTTATCAATCAAATCAAGGCCTAAAATTGGCTGCCAAGGCGGTCTGCCATACCAAAGGGGAGTTTATCTGTTTGAAATCTTCTCGACTACCTAATGACAGCAACATTGACATGAAACATAATAGGCACTGTTTTTTGTTGTTCCCTCTCTCTCCCTGCCCCCTTGCTTTTTCTGCTCAAAGCGGACATTGCCTCTATGGGAGATGGTGAAGCTCAGACTGGTCCCTCCCCTGCCCTCCCACAGCTCCCCGCTTCCTAAACATGCCTGCTCCTGGATGCAGCTGTCAGGACCGGGTTTCAGATACACACAGTTCACCTCTGGATTTGAGCTGACAGAACCTGCCCGTGTCAACTCCATCCTTGTCTCTGCCAATTCAAGCACATTCGTTGAGGAACATGAACAATGTTAAAGACTAGCCGCTCTTGCTGACAGGCATTAGATGGCAGAGCTTTTGGTGCATGTTGTCACTACTTTTCCCTGACAGGCAGTTATGTTTTACTTTAATAGCCATATATCTCCTCTCCAGTTCCCTTTAACTGGGTGGAATTTTACAAGGATACCAAGAGGTTGTCACTTCATCAGTGCATGCCGCTGTTATCCCACATCAGGGAACTCCCCCTTACGAGCATCGTGTAAAAACGTGCTGCAACCCATGGCAAAGGTAACAGAAAACATCATGGTCCTTGCTGATACCTTGCTAGGATTTTCCTTCTCATCCTGGGTTTGGAGAGGCCAAGCAGTCAGGGCCTAATGGTCAGCTGAACCCACACAGGCATTTTCTCTGGAGAAGTTATGCTGGTGGTGGCAAGATTCATTACACACGATGTTCATAATCAATCAAGCCACCATTACTAGTTAAAAATAAATAAAGCCATAGATCTCTCTAAAAACATTGAATTGTTGCTTATACAGTCACCACTCCTGGGCCAGACCACACAGGGAAGATTATTTATTATGTGAGGAAAAAAACAAAACGTGGTGTCATTTGCCTTCTTGAAAATGGGGCCATTTCTTTTCTCACCAATACACCATGTGATGGAAGACACTCAGTGCTCTGTCTTGCATTCATGCTGTACTCTGTAGACCCAGAGAAGATAAAATGTCTGCTCCAGTGCTCTCCCTTACCTCTGGGTGTCTAGGCACTTTTATCTCAAGGTTGTTCTCCTTGAAGTGAGCCACAGAGAGATAGAATCACAATTTTTTAACACTCCATTAACTTATGTCCTTAGAAATTGGCTTCTTTTCTAATTCCAACCTTCTATCCCAAAAGCTATCTCCTCATTCCATTTGTTTCAGAAGATGGCGGGCACTGCGCTAGCCAATACCCCTGTCTGTAAGAAGAGCAACTGAGCTTGTATTCTTCCTGTAGTTGAAGTAGGCATTCAAGATAAGCACCCTACCCCTTACCAGATGGGGTCTCACAGAAGGTACAAAGCATCTGGAATGAAATGTCTCGTTGTAATGAGGTCTTGAAAGCAGATTATATGTTATATTAGTACTTACTATCTGAAAGAAGACGTGAGAGGGGAAAAAATGATTGGCAGATTATTTAATGTCACCCAAAAGCCTCAAGGGCCCAATTAAACAGGAAATATGTTTGGCTTTTGGACTACAGTTGTCCATTCCCTGGGGCTTCTGCAGCATGGAGGCTGGACATATGTTACTTGCTCATGCTCTAAGAAATTATATTTGCATGGGGAGTGATACCTGCTTGTCCAGAATTAAGATGTCAAGACCTTCTCTCATTCTAATGCCAGTGCTCTCAGACAGAATGTGCCTGGAGAGGGCCCACAACCCAGTCAAACAGCTGGGCTTATCACCTTTGCCATTCCCATGAGAGTCTGTGTGAAGATCCAGCTGTTTGGGTAACACAGTGGAATAGGAAATCAGAGAATGTGCATTCTACACACTCCTCTTTTATCACTGAATATTATGAAGTCACTCACCAAATAACTCAGGTCATAAGAAAAAAGGATTTCACAAACTCACAAAACCGATACAAAGTCCTTTCCAGGCCTGCTGAGTCAGTGGAGAAACCTCTTCCACTTTTGAAATCAATGACAAAACTATTTGGGTATTTCTCCCCAGATATACAAGCCAAGAATGGCTTTAAGCTGTTAAAGCTGAGCTGGTTTCTTTGCAAATTGTCAACATCAACTTCAAGGTTTATGAGTCTTTCTCACCTGGGTTTCTCATCTTTCCTGTCCAGAAGCTATGGAACTTTTCAAAGGTACCAGAAAACCTAGTCATTTTAGCACCACTGAAGAGCCAACTTGTATTCACAGAAAATACTCTGGCAGCCTAGAGGTTCCTGTGTACAATTTATTCTGGGACGCACAAATAAACCTTTCTTCTGATGCTTGTCCCAAACAGCATACACTTCAAATGGTAAAACCCAGTGACTGCTGGACTACTTTGATCTACTGAGGCTTCAGAGCAAATCCATACTGCAAGCTCCCACTGCCTGCAGAAGGCCACTTTTTTTGGGAGGAGTGGCTGCAGGTCAGACCTGTACACAGATAGGTGCATTCAGACATATTCAGTATGCTCCGGGAGACTTCTAGGGACAGATCTCAGACTAGCTCCAGCAGCAGAACAAATGGCTCATGACACAGCTAGGGGAGTAATGGTGTGGGCTAAGGTTGTCTGTACAATGGCTATTATTTTTATTTCACAGTTTCTGTAAGATGAAGGCTCAAAAATATTCTTAAATATGGAGCAAAATGACTGTGCTCAGACCCTAGAGACCAATCCTCAGTGATTAATATCCTGGTGGCAGTAGCCCTGTTAGTGCTGTGAAAGGCTCCTTATAGCTAGTGAAAGATCGCTAACATTTCACCGAATGCACACACAAGTCACCAGACAGGAAAAACTGGAAAACAAAGTTCTCATCATTCCACTGTATTAATAAAGCCACTGCAGCAACAGTGCAAGATCTCACATACCACAGAACCAATTCTCGGCAGTGAACTTACATAAAAAGGAGGAGATTACTTCTGGATGGTGCCTTTGCTGAGACTCCCAGCACACGCTGTTGGTGATGCAGATGCTTATCCAGTAGAAGCTGGGCAGAGATCAGCAATTCATTTCCCATTAGCCGGTATTGAACATCAGTCATTACAACCAGCACGGTCCAGACCTGAGCCAGTGACCTAAGGGTGAAAGGCTGCAGCTTCCCAAGCCGGTAATCATTACGTTTTGACACAACCAATTATTCAAAAACAGTCACTCAGAGATCAATTAAAATTTTGGTAACTTAACCTGTTCTTTGCTTCTCCTTTGTTTCCCACACATCATGTTCCCCAGTCTAAATAAACAGAACACTTTGTCACTGCACTATATAATTCTGTATTCAAACTGTCAGGACCTACCCTAGTCACCTCTGTCACTGTCTCTACCAATCCCAGTGCACTCGCTCAGGCCTCTGAAGAGTATTAAAGTGCTTTTCCTGACAGACACTTTGATAACATCACCAAGCACATGCATTGAGGAAAATTCCTTCTGACAGCATTCACTCAACAAGCTGAAAACTAAAGAGGTATACGGGTTTGTTTTACTTACCCTGCTTGTGTGATAAATGTTATAATTAACTCTCTGTCTAATACTGGGAAGCTATTGTTAAGTTTCACGGCCTTTGAAGATTCACATTTGTAACAGCAAACCACTCAAATGAACACATTTAGCAATGACTGCATTTTTCAGTGATTTCTTAATGTTGCCAAACAGCAGCACTGAATATTTATAGAGTTTCTGTTAAAAAATTACACATATCATTGCTTGTTTTCGCTTTGATCTAGAATTTATTGTCTATGAAGTAAAAAAAGACAGACCCTGCCACACACCTCCTATCTTTTGTACACCTCCCAGTGTATGTTGGCTGCTTAAGACATCGTTTAGAGGCAGGTCCTCTCAGACTCCAGTACAAACCTAATTAAATTAATGCAACTCCTGGACAACACAGAATCATTATTGCTGCAACCATTCTAACATTTATCACATCCACAGAGTCATCCATCAGAAACTAAATGCTTAGTCTCCAACACTATTTGATGGCTCCAGTTACATTTTTTCTCCCCAGCAAGAGCAAATTATTACAGATGGACCCTACAATGATGTGTCCACCTTTTGTATTACCAGCAGAGTCTGCAATGCAGTTTAACAGTGCGTACTCCTGCCCTGGGAGCTTCCTGCCAAAGCAAACACCGCTCGAGACCTTTGGGAATGGTGAAGAACATGGACTGACACCAGTTCCTTGGGACGCCACCAAAGGTTAGGTGCATGGCTGAGTAAATTACTAGCTTCAGAGACAGTCTAAGCTCTCAACATCACTGTGTTCTGCAGTGGAAAACTGGTAGAATCATAGAATCACAGAATAGTTAGGGTTGGAAAGGACCTTAAGATCATACAGTTCCAACTGCCCTGCCGTGGGCAGGGACACCTCACACTAAATCATATCACCCAAGTCCTTGTCCAACCTGGCCTTGAACACTGCCAGGGATGGAGCATTCACAACCTCCCTGGACAACCCATTCCAGTGCCTCACCCCCTGAACAGGAAAGAATTTCCTTCTTATATCCAATCTAATCTAAACTTCTCCTGTTTAAGTTTTAACCCATTACCCCTTGTCCTGTCACTACAGTCCCTAATGAAGAGTCCCTCCCCAGCATCCCTATAGGCCCCCTTCAGATCCTGGAAGGCTGCTCTGAGGTCTCCACGCAGCCTTCTCTTCTCCAGGCTGAACAGCCCCAACTTCCTCAGCCTGTCTTCATATGGGAGGTGCTCCAGTCCCCTGATCATCCTCGTGGCCTCCTCTGGACTTGTTCCAACAGTTCCATGTCCTTTTTATGTTGAGGACACCAGAACTGCACACAATGCTCCAGGTGAGGTCTCACAAGAGCAGAGCAGCGGGGCAGGATCACCTCCTTCGACCTGCTGGTCACGCTCCTTTTGATGCAGCCCAGGATACGGTTGCTTTCTGGGCTGTGAGCGCACACTGAAGCCGGCTCATGTTCATTTTCTCATCAACCAACACCTCCAAGTCCTTCTCTGCAGGGCTGCTCTGAATCTCTTCTCTGCCCAACCTGTAGCTGTGCCTGGGATTGCTCCGACCCAGGTGTAGGACCTTGCACTTGGCATGGTTAAACTTCATGAGGTTGGCATCAGCCCACCTCACAAGCGTGTCGAGGTCCCTCTGGATGGCATAAGGGAGGAAGTGAAAAAAGCAGCTAATAAGAGGGTAGAAGTTTATGTCAAAATAGGTCTCTGTTTAGAGCTGCTTGAACTTTCATTGATTCAGAGTCCCTCAGACACTCCTGCCATTTGCAATACCATGGATGTCACCTTTACATTTGGCCCAGGGTCATGGGTTTCTCTGTTCTGTGAGAATGCAACTGCTTTTCACACTGTTACCTTTCTGAAATGCAGCTCTGAGGATAATTGCTGATGTAAATGTCTCTGATGTAAAAAAACTAAAACAATCCCCCTTACATACACTGATACTGCTATATCCATTGCCTGAACTGCTGTTCCTCCTATTTCTCCTTGGAACATGGATGAAATCAGTCATTTTTGATTTCTACCTGCCAGGAAAATGATAGTGAACTAACTAAAAGGGCTTCAAGCTTCCCTACTGCCCCAAGCAGCACACACAGGTGCCAGCATTTCAGGTCACTGCTTTGCTGCACTATGCACAGACCAGTGGGATCTTGCTCTTTAAGGCAGCCACAAAGTGCTCAGCAACCATAACGTTCCTGACTCCATGCTGCAGAACTCACTGGTCAGCAGGATGTGACGAAAGGAACTCGGCAACTTCAGTTTTGTGAGTTTGAAAATAAATAAATGGATCTGTAATTTACTCCCCACCCCTAGTTCCACCCCCTTCGTTACCATTCTGGGTCTTTGCCACAGTGAACTTCACAGTACTCTCGTCTTCATTAGCTCTGCAGGCTATCTAAGTTTTATAATAGCCACAGTGACAAAAACAAAGACACAACCAGCCTGCCTCAGGGAGACAAGAGTCTTGCATTTTAAACAATTTGACCACACAGGGCACATGTTTCCTATAGAGCTACTTCAGAATGTGAATAGAAAGGATAATTTGTCTGAACTGCCTTCACATAAACAGTTATTTAAATTATCTTTCTTCTTTTATTACAATGATTTTTTGTTTAATCTTGAGATTGATTTTACATGAAAACCTGTCACTACTCTTTTAGCAAAAAGCAATAGATGAGGGCTTGTTTTAATAATTATTGTCGTTCCCTAGGCTGTCTTAAGCACAGACAACAGTATTGTTCTGATGAAATCTAACCAAAGACTGATTGAGCTGGGTCCTCCTGTCTTGCTTTCTAGGTAGGTGAGGGGCTGCTATTCTGTTCACAAATGTGGCACTGGAGCTGAGTATACCTTATTGCCATGGTAAATGTTTCCACTGAGAAACATTTCCTTTGGGGTTTATTCTGTAACTTGCTCATAAGCATCTGCTTGAAGTTTGGTGGAGAAGTTTAAGAGAGCACAATTTTAAAGAATAATAATAATAAAACATTTCAGCTTCTTTAAACTACAAGAGTATTAAGAAAACACAAGTTAAGCACTTTAGGAAGCTTAAATTTTTATAACTGTTCTGGGGTATTGGTATAATACTTCAAGAAAGTTCTTCTTTCAGTGTACATTTCTGCAAAATGCATAACAATACCTGCTTAAATTCACATTTACCCAGGAGACCAGAACATCTTTGAATTGCTTGTCTGCTTTTTCATGCAAATTTTTATTTATCCTAAAACATTCTAAGGGATAAATAGTATATAGTTTAAAAATATATATTATACTTTAAATATATGTGCAATGTTTGAGAGAATAAAGATTAAGGATTAAGTTTTCTGGGCCAGTATAAACAGAGAGACTTCATTTGCTCCAGTAACTTTTCTCAGATGTACAGTAGTATCTCTAAGATAGAAATGTGGATTCTTTACAGATTATGGCCTGAGATAGATGTGTTCATTATATCCTTTTTGGGATGCAATTTATGGATACACATTGCATTTAGCCTAAGTATGCTGCATTAAAACTCAATGTTCTTAACAGTCCTTAGTCTCAGAAACAACTGGAGCTGTGACCCACAGCTGTCTGTTTCCCAACAGGATTTTACACACAGGGATGTCTCCTGACATGAGGAGATTCCTTGCTTAGAGCCTAGAGATGACCCAGCTGCAGCCTCTTTGCACTGAGAGGCACAGGGGAGATATAATGCAATGAAATGCTACCTAAAGAGCTGGTTTGGGCATGCAAACCTCCCTCAGCATTTGTTCACTTCACTCAGTATATAGCTGTTTCCAGAGACACTTGGCTGCTGTAGATGTCTGGAATTAGCTGTTCTGCTGCTGGATCTCCTGATTTCACCTCGCACATAAAGATAGAATTTTCTTTCTGCTGAAGAGGTGTTATTTTTTTAAGATATTAAGATGTACATGTTTTATTACTAGATCTAATTTAAACTGGTGAATGCAATCACTTGCCTGCCAACTTGTGACTTGATTTTTTTCTGGGTATCCTTGCCCCTTGACCAAACCTGCATCAGATTGGGGTTTTTCCAACATTTGTAAACCGATTCATCTTACTGTTTCTTTACTTTCTAATACCACATCTGATCTGGGAGACACTGGGATTCTTGCTGGCTTTGCGATCATTTTTAATTCTTTCTTTTTTTTTTACTGATATCAACTTCTGGAACACTGGCCAGTGTTGCACGGTTCTCCTGGTTGTTAGTCGAGCTGCTTCTCAACTACTAGACATTATTATTAACTACTAGATAAGGGGAGGTTTCTTTGTTTCTGGTTACTGGCTGGTACAGAACAAGATTATAAAGGATTTACTGAACAAGGTGCCAACTGGCTGAGAAATATGCTGGCAGTCCATGATGTTCATGATTGACAGTGATGAACTCAAGAGGTGCCTGTGAAGTTCCCTCTTAAAATCTATGATTATTTTTGTGATTTGGTACCACTTTCTCCAACAGTGAAAATATGACCAGGTCAGGATCAGCAGGTCAAACATTAGTCTAGCCTTCTTTAATCTGCCTTTGATTTGACATTCCTAGCAACTCAAGTCATCATTTCTTCCTTACATACTTTGTTGAGAGGAATTAGTTTTGGTTTAGCTTTTGCAGCTGATGCTACCCAAACTTCAGAAAAACCGTCTGCTTCCCTGAGGTTTAAATGGGTGGTAAAGGTGTTATTGCACATGCTGATGATAGAGCTTCATCAGTTCTGAGAAGCTTTTTAGCACATCCAATTTCAAACTAAACCCATTTGCCACCAATGTCTCGCAGTGAATGAAAAGATCAAGGACATCTGATTGAACTCTTTATATAGATTATAGGAACATTCATTTGTTCTCTTGCCTATTAGGGCTACATTTCTATGAATTCATTATGAGATTAAATGGTATTTTCATATTTGGAAAGCAGAGCAGATATTATACAAAAGACAGGACATATTTGATACGTGACCATTAGGTTAAGTCAAAGGACATTAACCAAAACAGAGTGGATCTGTATAATTAATCCCCACTATCGGAAGTAGGTTTAAACAAAATTCATGTAAGAGAATTCATAACTGATTGAACAAGAAGTTCTACATTTCCTTCTGCTAGTAATAATACCATTAATTTAAAAAATCTAGATGTCCTCAGCAACTCTGTAACAATTGTTTGGGGAAAATCATATATTCTTTTCGACCATGCAAAAAGCATATTTTAAACACATATTTTATTTTACACTCCAGCACCAGTTTCAGGACAATGTACACATATTGCAATATGCCCAATTAAATGAGACATAAATGGTTCACCTTTCATTTTGTATCACTTGAGCGACCAAGAACATGGGAATTTGGGACAGACCTCCAGGGAAACAATAGATTAAAGCAGGAATGAGGAACCCAAAAGACTGTACTCTCCTAACAGCATATCATTGCTAAACTGAGTCCTACACATGGTACACAGTCCTCCCATTTGCTGGAATAAAGGACAAACCCAGTACCTTTTCTAAGTAATTCTGTTTCCTGCTGCTGAGTCAAATAACATCTTGCTGTCTGCCAGAAAGGATCTGTTAAACTCAGAGCCATTCTTTTCTCTATCTGCAGTTTAGCTTCTATCCTGATGCCCTATTGCTACATAGGTATAATAATTACACAATTTAACTATAATTATATCGTTATATACAGAGTTTATATAATCCTTAACAGAGTCCATTGTTAGAAGATCTTCGTATTTCTCAGCTGC